ATTCGAATCCCCCACGTGTTTCGTGCCTAATGGAAGAAGAACAACATCAAGATCTCGAGAAACCCATCAATGGAATCCTTCGAAATCTCACGAACACTCAGTCACGAGAAGAATCATCTATGAATCATCAGAAGCGAGAAATCTCTTGCCACTACGCTCTAAGGGAAAACCCAAAGAAGAAAACCCAGAAATCGTTTGGATTAGAATCACCAGAATCAATGAAGAAGATCTTGTTCCGTTGCGTAGAATGTGGAAAAGGGTTTCGGTACGAGAAATGTCTTTCGAATCATCAAAAGGTGATGCATTTATCGACGAAGCTGAAGAAGAAGGTTCATGAAGAAGAAGAACCCATGAAGAGTCTGTGTAGTAACTTCAGTCTTGTGACGAAGAAGAAGAGATCGAGAATTATCAGGTACAAGAAGAAGACTCCATTGTCTTGTTCGTTTACTACGTTTCTTGAAACTCGTTCTGTTTCTGCTGAGAATGATGAAGAATTAGAAGTTGCAGAGTGTTTGATTCTTTTGTCTAAGAGTTGTCCCAAGTTTGTAGACGGATTGAAACTTGTTGCTGAAGCAATTGAAACACCTAAAGGTAGCTATGATTCTGGTTGTTTGAGAAGCAAGAAACTGCGAAAAGCTGGTGAATTTGAATCTGGGTTCTTCAGTTGTGAGCAAAAACTTATGGAAGAAAGGGTTAGATGTTACGAAACATCGAAAGAACCAGCTATTTTCTTCAGGGACAATAACAAAACCGGTGAATTTGGATATGGGTTTCTGAGTAACGAGCACAATCTGCTGGAAGAAGGGATTAGTAGCGATGAAACATGGAGAGAACCAGCGAGTTTCTTGGGACACAAGTCTGGATTGGATCAGCAGAAGCTACGAAAAGGCGGTGAATTTGGTACCGGGCTTTCGAGTAACTTTGAATCAGATAGTGAGCTTGGAGTAGGAGCTATGAAGTGTTCTGATTTTAATACTGAGATTGTTACTGAAGCTAATGAAGAGAATCTTGAGCATCAATGCAAGTTGTGCAACAAGATATTCTCGTCTTATCAAGCTCTAGGTGGTCATCAGACGTTTCATAGGATGAGTAAAAACAAGAACAAGAAGCATTGTTGTTGATATGAATCTGTACAAGAGCCTGAGGATGAGTCTGTGACTTTGACTGTGAAGAAAGGGAAGAAGATATACAAGTGTAGCATCTGTTCAAGGCTTTTCAGGTCTGTTCATGGTTTAGGTGGTCACAAGAAACATCAAGGCAAGAGTCAACACTCCAAAACAGAGGATAAACTTGTTGAAACTCTGTTTTCTTCTAGCTAGTGAAGTTTTGTGCAGAATTTGTTAGTCAAATTTGAGACTTTTTTGCTCTGTTTTGGGTAAAAAACCATTTACTTGGAGTTTAGCAGTTTTATTTGGTTTTGGTATGTTTGTGTTAGATGAGAAAAAACAAAATGGGTTGTCTCTCAGAAACTTTTGATATAGTCAAGTTTGAGACTTTTTTGCTCTGTTTTTTTTTTCCGGGAAAAGGATGGAAAAAAGAAGTGGGCTTTTTCAATTTTGGATCCTTTGGATTTTGCTCTTAACTCCGGTTTGATTTCCGGTTCTAATCACCTTTTTTGTTGATTTGAAAAGTCATAATGGGATGTGTCGGTCGGTCTGTATTGGTTAGAATTCAACAAAAAAATTAAGCCTATAAATGAAATTAAATAACTACTTTTTTTGTAAACGTAAACGTCAAATAGAATTGTACGGACTTTGTAATTAGTTTTGGAAAAATTAAAAAAAAAAACCTTCAGTGAAATTGGACCTACCAGCTAAGACTTTGTTTACTTGATTTATGATATTTAATTTATCAATTTTCAAGAAAAAACGTGCAAAAATAACAACTTATTGCAAAAAAAGGAATCATTGCGTTACTATGGTGTAAATCTCTCTTTTTTTTTTATATAGATTTCATCATTTCTGACCTAAAAAAAAAAGAGTCCATCATTCTTTTAAAACATTGATAAAATTTTAAAATTAATGGAAAATTAGTTAAACGTACGTTCAAATGAAAGACGTTTGGAAGAGAGGGACTAGTTGTATACTTATCTTGAATGGAATATTTATGTTTTATCAATTTAGTTGTCAAAGTATTAATCAATATGTATAATTAAAATTAGTTTATATATCAATCATTTAAGAGGAAAGATGAAAAAGCAAAACTCTTGCTTAGCCATGAAAATAGGTAAAGAAAATGTATATAATTAGCTCTCTATAAAACAAGCCCTAAACTCAAGGTCAAGACACCAATTTTAATTATAATATTCATTGTATAATTTTAGATCTTGAATAAATTATAATC